CACCCCCACCAACAACACCATAACCCAACTCAGCAGGCAATGTGAACAATGCAATCTCTCCCTTCTTCATAGAGATGACGCCATGGTCCAAACCCTTCACCACTAGACCCTCACTGAGCTTAATGGTGAGAGCCTCATCTCTATCTCTGGTCGACTCGAACTTCGTCCCATGAAGCTAGTGCACGAAATTCAAATTTCCACACTCAATGTCTCTAAAATTATAATGTAATTTTTGCGGGTAGTGTTTTGGTTTTAATAGGAGAGAAAAAGAGAGAGAAAAAAAGAAAGAAAGAAAGGGCATTTTGGCATTTAAAAAAATTAAATATGGGTATTTTTTGCATTTTCAAAGTTTCATTAAAAGGAAAGAGCCAAGTGCTTCCCGTGTTTTTGTTCTACAACGCTTTTAAGAAGAAGCATCTCTCAAGTGCTTCTTCCAAAATCACTCCAAGGGCTTTTGGATCTAACTCGAAGCGCTTTTGCAATTTCTGCCAAACACAATTTTTAAAAGACTGAAACGCTTTCACTCATTTAGAAGCGCTTTTTGTTGTTCCAAAAGCACTCCCAAACGAACACTTCATGACTAAAACCACTAAGAATGGTATATTCGACAGGGGGAGGGGCTGCGATGGAGGTGGTGGTGGTGGTTGAGGAAATGAGCTATTTGAGAGAGGAGATGTGCGTGCGTAGGGGGTGATTTTTACTTTTTTAAAAATAATTTTATTAATTACAAGATACAACTGAAATTTGGACGCAAGTTGTGAGAAATGGGTGGGTAAAGAACATTTCGGGGGTGTGTCTAGATGATAAATTGCTATAAAAAATTTGTTTGCGTGGTGAATGCACACACCCCTAATAGTTTTGATGGTAGATGAGCAAAATTCCCTTATTTTTATTAATATCTTATGTAGAAAAAAAAAATATATAATTCAAAAATAGAATAATATTACCTAAAATTATCTTTTAACAACAACCCTCATTAGAAACACTTGTGTGAAATGGAGATAACACTAATTTGCTATCTCCGGCCAATCATGGCATGCCACGTGTGATAAATTTTTCACATGCCTATCTGTGATTGGTTGGGGATAGCAAAACAGTGTTATCCATGTTTCATACAAATTTTTTTGCCTCGTCAGGTGCAACCCGCATAACCCTAACGTTCGCATCCAGCCCCATTCTCCTCCTTTATTTTCCCTTCTTTCTCTTTCCTAATTAGGATGGATCAGTCTCTAGTTCGCTTTCCTCTTCTTCTTTCTCTGGTTCTCTTTCCTCTTATTCTTCTCTCTCTCTCTCTCTCTCTCTCTCTCTCTCTCGTATGGCACCTGATCTAGTTTTTCTTTGCGAATTAATAACCACCAAACTCACCGAAGCAAGTTCAAGTGGCATTATTTTATACAGATGTGTTAGAGCTTTGGGTGATCTTCGGGCCAAGCATTGTCAGCGCCATGTTTGTAGGCGGTTGGTGGTTCTGGGTCGACCTCGTCATTAATGCAGCTTCATCAAGGTTTGATTCATCTACTACCTCCCTGGTTTGACTCAACCCGACCCATTTATTCTCTCTCTCTCTCTCTCTCTCTTCGCCACTAGTTGATGGTTGGTAGTGGTTTGATTGGGAGATGATGGTCATTAGTAGAGGTGTCAAATGGATCGGGTCAGCCCGAGCATGGCCTAGCACAGCTCGTATCTTTGAGCAGGCTAAGACGAGGTAATCAGGACTAATGGTTGTGCCGGTTGGTTTAAAGCTTCTTTAGTACATTATATTTATTTTAGAGAAAAATAATACATAATATTATTACATTTATATCTTAAATTTAAGTCTATTTCTTTTCTCTAATATATTAAAATTTAATGTTTTCTTTATATATAAAATAATGATTTTGTTTTCCAAGTTTCAAATTTTAAAATTCAAACAATAATCTAGTCATTTTCAATTTAAATGTACTTTAAATAATTTTATTGGCCTCTTTTTCAACAAATAATAAATCTTGCTTGTATATACATAATTGTAAATATAAAAAAAAAAATTAAATGAAGTTGTAAAAGAAATTACAAAAATAAAATGTAATACATAAGTCAAATTTGGTGTGGGCCCATCTCGTCCCGTTTAGTGGCCCGATACGAGCATGGTCCGAGCTCATATGGGCTAGAGCCGAAATTGATGATTTTCATAAATAGATGGGCCTGACACGACCCGTTTATTAAATGGACTGACTCTAAACGAGTAGAGCCGAACTAACTCAGCACGCCCATTTGACACATCTAGTGATTAGACTGGGTTATGGTGGTGATGTGAATTGAGTTTTTCCAAGTTATGGTGGTTTGAAGAAATGGATTTGCCTTTTTGTGAAATGATGGTTGAGATATGAACTTCTTTTTCCATGATATGATTTGTTTGTTTTTTTTTTTTTTCCCAATCTCTTTTATTCTTGTTTTTATGTAGTTGCAATTTAGCTTTTCCTCATTGAAAAGAAAATTGAAGGACATTTCTTTGCTAAGTTCTTGGTTATGAGTCAAAAAGCCTACATAGGTTTTAGGTGTCGAACTGGTGTGCACGTATACTATGCCGATTTGCCAAAGGTTCGACTTTCGTGTTCAATGTCTCCAATAGTATCTCACTCTGAATTCAGCCAAAGGGTAAGTCCTTATCACAAGGAAGTACACAAGGCGCACCGAAAGGGTTCGGCTTCCAGAAGTTAGATCCATATCATAATCATCCTCATTTTGCACTTTTGACATGTCGTGGCTGCTATGCAACGCCCACACATCACACCAAGAATGACGCTAATTGTCTAGATTCCGGGACAAGGCTCCACATCACCGAGATTATTTTTAAATCCACACACTTCTAAAAGAAGAAGAACCAAAGTTTGCAGCCTCTTAATAAATGAAATTAATTTTCAACGATCTGTGCAATTAATTTGCTTGAGATTTTCCCATATTTTTAGATTTGTCTAATCCTCTTAGAAAAGGTTTTGCCATTAATTAGTCTGATGATTCATGCATATATATAATTCATGCCAAATCAAAATGGGCCCCTTTGTACAGGGAAATGTTAAGGAACATGCGTATAGTGAGTTTTGCATTTCATTTAAAAAAACACGTGCGTACAGTGGTCAGCCTGGACCTCCTATAAATATGC